ACGAGCGGTCTTTTCTATTTCTATCTTTCTCTGAGTCATGCGTAATTCAGCTTCGTGCCTTTCTTGCCATAATTGTCGTTCGCGTTCCTCTTGTGCTTTGCGAATTTCAGCTCGTCGTTGTTCTTCTTGTTGAAATTGTTTATCTTTCAATTCTAGCCGTCGTAATTCAGCTTCGTCATAAGCTTTTTCTTGTTTTTCCTTTAGGTGTTGTGATATTTTCTCTTTGTCTTCGATCAGCGCTGAATATTTAGCTCTTGTTTCCTTTTTCCACTGTCTAACTGGTTTTTTCAACTCTTCTGTTTGTGAAATTAGCTCCGATATTTTGACGATTATTTTCCCAGCACGATTGTTTATAGCTTCCATTTCACCGTAATCTTTCGCTTGAATAATTTCATTTGTTTCTTCTAAGAAATACTTCAACTTAGAAATCTCTTTCTCAATATCTCCTTCGAGTTTTTGCTCACCTGCGTTTGTAATCTCGCTCGCCTCTTCGTCGCTCATAATGATAAATCAACAGTGTTTACTTCGTATTTCACCGCTTTGTGTGTTTGATTTTCGTCGCTTTTTTCCTCTCGAATCCTGGTCACGGCACCACTAGTATACCAAACTCATTACTCACGTAGTATACTATTATTTAATCGTAAATCCAAAATTAAAACTTACAAAACTTAAACCTGAAATATATTAAATTTCTCACAGTCTCACGAATCACGATATGTCTCGCAGTCCCAATGCTGTTTTTGTATTCTCTGTCTATCAACTCTAAGTACTTTGCTCTTACTTCAAAATGTCAATCTTGTTTATAAAAGTCCCCGCCCCTTGTCACGCCACCTAATGTGGCCTATACTAATTTCGGTTCACTTGGTCACCCCATGCATTGTTTTGGGTTGTTCTCCATGGTTTATACCTCAAAAGTTGATATTTACAATATAGGCCAAAATTTGGACCTTTGGGATTAGGAGAATATGTTGGAAATATTTGTGGTATAATATTCTCTGGCAATTTTGTCAGTTCATTGTTAACAACTTTGTACGTTGTAGCAAATTGAACAAAGTTCATATTTATTATATTTTGCGAACTCTCATACTGTTCACTATTAGCATAGACATCAAGAAGTGAATAATCGGTGCACGATTCACCCTCTTCAATATTTGCAGTATCACACACTCTACGTGAACCATTTAGACTAACTGGCATTACTTTAAATGATGAGCTATGGAGTTTTAAAGACAACAAATGATGCATGGTCTCTTGAGCTGCATAATCTCTTTCACCAAGAGATTTCATAACTACCTTCTTAATAACTCTATGAGGGTCAGTATTCCTGTCAACATTTTGCACAATAGAATTGAATGCCTGTTTCAATATAGGTGATCTTGGTTCACCTTTAGCTGCATATTTTGTGAGATATTCAACACAAGCATAGTGATCATTAACAACTTGAATATCACAGTTAGCTCTCCATCCTTGGAGCTGAAGTTGTTGATGGTTATTTAATATAGAGTCATTTCGTTTAGTCACAATCTTAGCTCGATAATGCTTATCACCTGAAGTATGAATTTTTTCAAATTCTAATTTTGTCTTAGGACAAATATCAAAAGGGAAATGAAATCTACATTTCAAGTCTGTTTCATTTGACTTCTTTCTAAGACAATAACTTGTACCGCAACGAGTGTGTCATTGAACCATGTTTAATAGATCTACATAATCTGATTGTTTTTCATATTCAGGAATGTCATGACTTCTTTGACATGGATGAATCTCAGGTCTTATCCACATGTCCTCATCTGGTGGATTATGATTGACAGTTGATAATAACCAATCAACATACTGACATACTGTGTCAGCTGCTTTCTGCCCAGCTTCAATATCCTGGTCTAGTTCAGTTGTGTCAGAACAATCATTTTCATCTTTAAATTTTTGAGCGAAGAAACCTTTCAAAGCAGTCTGAGTCAGTTGACACAAACCTGGGTCATTATTTAGTTTAGCAGTACCATGACAAATGGATACTACCTCTACCTTGATATTCATATCGAAACCAGTGCCATTTTGCACCAAGTGTATCAGTGTTTTACAAAGCTTTCTAATCTTTGGGTGAAAAACCAATCTACAACATGGGGAGTGTTGATCACATTTTGTCGTCTTACATCACTGGTAGAGTTACCTAACTCATTGTCAGTACCAGATTTAAATAAAGCATGTAACTCAGGCCAATGCATATCTGCAGAGGAGAAAGTGAAAAATAATGTTGGTGCTCCAACACTAGTTATGATAGCTTTGAGTTCCTCTCTTACTCTATTCCAGTAAGCATTAGTACCTGCAATATTGCCAACATATCTTGACACTTTAGACATAAATACACTAGCATTGTTACTGGCAGCCATTTTACGCAGTTCATCAATTGTGAGATGAGCTTCACCTGGGTTCTGTTTGAGGAATATTCCACTTTGTTGTAAAATTCGTTTTCTTTGAATCATATTAAAAGCCCACTATGAAAATCTGGGGTGGTTAGCAAAACGGTATACCCATTTACCATCAATAATTTCAGCAAATTTTAGAAGATGCTTTATTCGTTCCTGAAGAGGGACATCTCTCAGAAGTCCTTGATTAGTAGGACTAGTAGTATCACCTTTCCCATCTGGAAATAAAGTTGGGAAAGCCATTGTGGCCAGATGTGATACCTGATACTCATTTAATGGCTCATTTTCAGTTGAGGGCGATGGCTGGCTCATTTTCAGAAAGCTGATTTGTAACACCTTCAATTTCCTGTTGTTATTGTTCACCAACAGGTAGAAAACTACTCATTTCAGTAGAATCATTATATACAATATCCTCTGAGGGATTATCAGTGGGAGGACCTGTATCAGGTGAACAATTATCACCTGAGTCTATATCATCATCAGTCTCAACATTCATTAGATCTGGTGGTACACCATTTTCAGGTAATGAATTTAATGCATCTTCATTAATTGTTAATTGAGAATAATATGGATTGTTGGTTATAAGCCACACTAAGACATTGTGCACATTTTGTTTTCGCACAGTAACATCTCTGAATGTGTTGTCTCTACCTTTTACTTTGACAATAATAATAGCCAAGTCTTTAGGGAGTAATCGGACCAGATGACTTAATTGCGACCAATTCCCCCGCCTTTTTTTCTTGCTTTCAGGTAGTAGAATCACCTTGTACCGAAGCACCCATGCCGTAATTCTTTTCAGACGATTTCAAGACGAATAACGTTCGATCATTCTTACTACTGGATTTGAATCAGAACCATGACTTGCACATACAATGGGTGATTTGACTTCAGGATCGGCTTCATCAACATTCATGTTCATTTCAGCCGGTCGTTTTGGCCAGTCTTTGTTCGATTGACATAGGAACTCTGGTCCTTGAATCCAACGCTCGAGATAATTTGCTGGCACACCCCTTGAAGCATTGTCGGCTGTGTTCAGCTCGGTATTGACATAATTCCATTGGGATGGGGAAGATGAGTTGTGGATGGCAGCGACTCGATTTGCCACGAAAGTTTGAAATCTCTTGTCTTGGTTCTCAATGTAACGTAACACACACATACTGTCGGTCCAAAAGAAGGATTGGTCGATCAGAAAACTTAGTTCTCGACGGGATATTTTGTCTAGCTTCGTTGGTACGACCACCGCTGACAATTCCATACGAGGGATTGTGACCAGTTTGATAGGCGCAAGCCTTGATTTGTCCATCACAAACGAGCACTTTACATTTCGATCTTTATCTTTAACTCTAAGATACATTACAGCTCTGTAACCATGTTGTGATGCGTCTGAAAAGCGATGTAGTTGAGTGTCGTTGACTTCTCCTAGATCAGTGGGTTTAAAACATCGATCAACAGCTAGCTGTTCCAGATTCGGTAGCTCTTGCAGCCAAGCTCGCCAGCGATTGCGGTATTCCTCAGGAATTTCTTCATCCCACCCCAACTTCTTCCAACATAGGTCTTGGAGAATGAGTTTGGCTTGAAGAATGAATGGAGCAGCAAACCCCAGCGGATCGTATACAGAACTGACGATCGACAAGATGCCCCTTCTCGTTGCTGGTCGATCTTTAATGACAATCTTGAAACAAAATTGATCTGATATATTCCATTGGACACCAAGCGCTCTCTCAATGGACCAGCTGTTGAAATCAAGATTCTTGACTATGGAAGCTCTTTCAGATTCAAGCAAGGACTCGATGACCTTTCTCGAGTTGGAGACCCATTTCGTAAGTTTGAAGCCCCCTCGGCCAAGTAGTTCGCGCAGCTGCTTTGCAAGATCAACAGCTTCGTCCTCTTCGCTGACTGACTTAAGACAATCATCAACGTAAAAGTTCTGCTTTACCGTTTCGATGACCTTGGGATTGAAATCTGCCTCGTTATCTCTAGCTGTTTTCTTGAGTGCAAAGTTAGCACAACTTGGAGATGATGCCCCACCGAATAAGTGAACTCTCATTTTGTATTCTTCTGGCTCTTTGGAGAGGTTTCCTTCGGGCCACCACAGGAATCTCAAGGCATCGCAGTCGCTCGGGGGGACCCGCACTTGATAAAACATTGCTTCGATGTCAGCAATCAACGCCACCGGTTCTTCTCTGAATCTGGTTAATACACCGATGAGATTGTTCGTGAGATCCGGCCCCTGTAACAGCTGGTCGTTCAGCGAGGTATCACAATGTTTGGCAGAGCAGTCAACCACAACTCGAACCTTATCAGGTTTCTGTGGGTGGAATACACCACTGGGTTTTCAAAGGTCCGAGATCTTGATTGGATACCTTTCTGGCGTGATCTTTGGTTAGCAGACCGTCCATAAACTGCTTGTACTTCTCTAATAGTGATGGATCATGTTGAAGTCGTCTCTTTCGTGAGAAAAGTCGTTTCTCCGCTTGTAATCAGTTGTTTGACACATTTGGTGGATAATTTTTCCATGGTAGTCCGATCTCATAATGGCCGTCCACTAACTTCGCTGATTGTTCCATGATATTTAGTGCTTTCTTATCATTTTGAGACATGGAAGCTTTCGATTCGTAGGTGACATCATTAAACTCCATAATACAAAAGTCTTCGAAACGCTGATTTAGACTATTGTCTGCTTGAACGCAATTCACAGTCAGCACCTTGATCGCTTCTCTTCCGAGTGGTCCATTTAGAACCCAGCCTAGCAGTGTTCTTGTTGCAAAACATTAGCAGTGTTCCTGAGGTTGCAGAATCTCTGGAGCATCACTGCCAATCAAAAGACCGATCTCGGCCTCGATATGTGGGATAGATATGCCTTGTAGATGTGGCCAGCGGTCGATGTCTTCTTGTTTACCGATGCAGTCAGAGCGAATAGGTAAACTTGGTGTTGAGTACACTTTTGCTAGTTCGACTCGACTTTGATTATCTAAATCAAAGATTTCTAGCTTAACCATAGAACATTCTGTCGGAGTTCCTTCACCAAGCATTGTTGTTAAGGATAGCTTGGTCTTCTCTCCTTGATCCTTGAGCTTCTTGAGAAGACTTTCGGTACAAAACGAGGTGTTCGAGCCCAAGTCCAAGAATGCGTATGTTTCGACCACTTCAGATCTTCCTTTTGCCTTCACTCGAACTGGAACGATAGCAAGACCTGTCACCGAGGAACTGTTCAACTGGCTTGATTTTGAAGAAATCTTTACATAACCGTTGCTTTGGAGGCGTCCTTTCTCTGTTGTTCTCTCCATCAGTTTGAGTAGACCTTGGGTGAAGAAAGGTTGAGTGCTTTCCTGAACATCCTTCTACCTTACAGAAACTTTGCTTTGCACACGAGCGAACAAAGTGACCACTTGTGAGGCAATTTAAACACAGTTTGTTGTCTCTCACGTATTTCTTTCTTTCCTCAAGAGACAGTTTGCGAAACTTATCACAACGTGATAGCCAATGATTTGCATTGCACAGGCATATACTCTTGTTCGGTTTTCCTAGTACTCCCTGTGTTGAGAAACCGCTCACTCTGGAACCAAATTGTCGCTTTCCTTTGTTGTCTTCCTGTTTTCCTTTATTTTCATTCACAATCTTTCCAAAAATCGTATGGGTAGCTGCTCTCGCTTTGGCAGTCACGAATTCTGTCATATCCTCAATTGTCACGTCTCTTCCTTCTTTCTCTATAATATGGTCGACAGTATCACACCCTTTTAATCTCATGCCAAAAGGAAGCCGGTTGATAATTTTCTTCAGATTTTCAGGGTGATCCAACTTGCTAAGCGAGCCAATTTCTTTCAACGTATTTGTGCAGCTGGTAAGTTGTATGGAGAACTGTAGAAGAGCGTCTCCGTCCTCTGCGACTGTGATTGTTCGGCAGCTCGTGCGCACCTCGAAATTTGCCGGGCTGAAGAGGTGGTGCATAATAATGTGCTGGACGGCATCCATATGATGGTTGAACCGTGCTCTTACTTCCATACGGAGTCCACCGACCAGATCCCTTGCCTCCCGCATAGCCGCCAAGATAGAGAACATGTTATCGTAGGCGTGTCCACCCTGCCTCGTTGTGATCGTCGCATTCAGTGGCTGCAAGTTCGAAGCCCTCAAGAGGTGGTACTGGAGGTTAATATATCTTTAGGGATTTTATCGGACCATCATCGGTAATTGCTAGGTTGAGGTTTCCCCCAAGGGTAACTCTGGGATTCGGGTTTAGTGGCATAAGGATTGGATACGGGTTAGGAGTTACGTGGAGAGGATATGGTGCATGGGGTTTTATTAGGTATAGGTAATCAGTACGGTGGGACAGGGAAATGTCCCATTCATTAGGTGGGAAGCCGTTGTCTTCAGCTGCGCAGTCGAGGAGGTCCCTTGGCAGGTCGGGGAAGGTGTCGAGTTTCATCTTCATGCTGAAATTCACTAATCTGAGAAATGGAACACCAGCATCCATGAGGGCAAGAAGGAATGTTGTTGCGGGAACTGGTTTGTTGCTTCCTCTAATAAAGTGCGTGGCCTCATCACCAGATGGAAGCACAATGTGCCCGTTTGCACTAAAGTATTGGTACAACTGCACTTTCGTCTGGACTGAGAATGGGATGAGGGTAATTGTGGGATGCCACGTCAGCACTACATATCTCCAATCTTCATGTCTCCACAATCTTCCCTTATTTGTTGACAACAGGAGAGAGCTGCCAACAAACGACTGCAGCAGTCATTAACTCTTTCGCATCCCCTTGCCGACACGCGGTTTCACATTACATTACGAGTCAATATTTCTAATGTAAATATCTCGGCGGGTATTTACCCCCCTTTAAAACAAAACCCACCATTGAGACATTACACAAACCGAAACAATCATAGCTTGTACTCACCGCTTGGCAAAACATTCTGTATTGGATATCGAGAAAAAGTTGAATATTTTCCAAACTTTTTGTCATTTTCTAAAAGGCTCTATGAGTAAAACACTCTTTGTATTCAAGCGCTTTCATGTAGAAAGTTTCGTATGAATACGGCCAGTAGAAATATTTATTTTGAATTTTTCAAAATATCGGCTGATATCGGGTTTTTACTCGCACTCGCATACATTGTGCAATAATTGGCCAATAAGAAGCTCCTGTGGCCGGGATGACGTCAAACTCACGCGTGTAGGTGCAATTTGACCTTCTGAAACCATTTCTGGCCTTTGCAGGGTCATACGATACAAACGTCACATTGTTTTGACGGTTTTCGGTCGTATTTCCGGTTGGGATTAACTCGCTCCGAGCTCACAGTCGGACAAGAAATGGAAATATATTGATAAAAGATACAGATTTGAAGATACAGGCTTACAAATAACACTGTAGATATTTTGATGGGGATTCTAACAAGAATACTACAAAGACGATATGTTTGAAGGGGCCGAAGTTATTTTCGGCGAAAGGTATGGCTAGTCAATATTTTTGTTCAGACAATTGCATAATTTGATACAATATGATCGTGTTTGACTTTCAAAGGCCCATAAATCGCTACAATGTTGATAATGACTATAACTATAGGGAGGAATTAGTTGAATCTTTTATTTCTGAATCGAATGGTGGTATTTCTGTCTTCATAGCATGCACTGAACCAAAGATATGAAATTTCTTAGCCGTCGATCTCTCGAGGTCGACGGGACTGGGACGCGATGCAAAAGAGTTAAAAACCCTAGGATTAGGGTTATCCACAAGAAATCTGGACATTTAATGAAATCTGTGAAGAAAAGAAATAATCATATTAGGATTTATAAGGGTTTTTAGGATTTTTTAAAAATTTTTAGATTTAAAAAATTTTTTTTTTAAATCTACAAATCTCTCTCTCTCTCTCTATATATATATATATAGTTAAAAAGGAGGAGCTTAATAGTGTCATTGGAATATGATCAGTTCCTTTGAAGCCTTGGCGCCGTGGTTGAGTTTTGCTTTTCTTCTGCGAATTGAAGGGATTCTTTATATAATAGTAGGGACCAGTGATCCGATCTATCAATTATCTTACAGTTATCAAATATAGGTTGTGTTGTGTTAGTGTTTATACTTTCATTAGAATCAGGCATTAGTTCGATTAGGGTTTTGATGTGTTGGAAGTGTTCACAAGAGTTAATGTGGGCATTGATTTCTGAACTTTCACAATTATTGTGTTCTTTGTTCTTAATGGAACTAACGCCCAATTCTACTGAAATTATAAACACTAACACAACACAACTTATATTTGATAACTGTAAGATAATTGATAGATCTGATAACTGGTCCCTACTATTATATAAAGAATTCCTTGCAATCTGCAGAAGAAAATCAGAACTCAACCACGGCGCCAAGGCTTCAAAGGAACTGATCATATTCCAATGACACTATTAACCCTCCTCCTTTTTAACTATATAATATATCAGTATTTGTAACTTTACACTAATCTGTCCTGATGATGACTAAAATATAGTTGAAACATAGATTCATTAAAGCTACAAAATGTTATTTGGAGTTACTGTCCTTTTGTATTTTATTAAAATACTCTGTGGTTCAAGAAGAAGTAGGTCCAGCAATTTCTTTCATATCTCAATATTATTTTATATTAAACGATTGCAGGACAATATGCCAAGTTCAATTACACTGTATTGAATAGTTCATCACAGATTCACAGAAGGTTGGATGAACTCAATTTATTTCCTTCATTGTTCATGGCATTCACGTCCTTAATCCTTTTGTACACCATGAAATATCACCAACTTATCACAAAACATATTTTACGCCGATCAGACTAACCACGCAGAAGCTATATAACTTTATATGTTTATCACTATTCGCCAAAGACCGAGGTGAAATTAATCGATATATGACAATGGCCAAATTCTACGCTTAAATTTGTTTCTCATCCAGTTAAATCAAAGAACAACCTCTTCTTTATGATATTTCAAAGTATCATGAGTTTTGCTTGGATACATAAAAAGCTACAATCTTGGACAAAACCCTTGAAACCATTCCAGCTAATACTACAAAGTCATTGAACATTGACAAAACAAACTTTGTCTCCCCCCCCCCCCCCCCCAGACCAATGTTGTGAACAACGCCAAAACAACTTTTGGTAATATACCATGATACAAGCTCAAGATTGAGTTGGGGGAGCGGGGGTTTAAGAATGGCAACATGATTGAACATGGAGTTTATCATTAAAATACGCAAATTTTCTACAGGGGGGAAATAGTCTCAACCGGTTATGTCCAAGATTGTCTGAATGTGGGAATTTTACATGCATACCAATTGTTTGAGAGTTATGGTTAGAAAGGCAGATATGTTAGTTTTGCGATGGAGGAAAAATTATTAAATATATGTTACACTGCAAGTACTGTAGGTAACAGAAATTTTAACCATATTAACAATCATTCCAGGCAATGCAAAATTTATATTTATACTGTAAGTAAAGGAAAATTAATTAAGGAAGACATATATACACCTCTAGATGAAAGTAAACTATTTATTGGACTTTTGGTAAACTTGATTTCCACCTTATTCCACATCATCATAGAAAGCTTTGTATAATGAATGTAAAAACATATCCCACACTAAACGTAGCCAAATTGGTCAAACGTGATAACATAGTTTGCTCGGAAAATGGCTATTCACTCTAACGTGCGAACGTTCTCCGGTCTATTTGAACCAATTAGCTACTGTTATTGAACATAGCTACAAAGTTTAAAAAGAAATGGAATCATGGACATGCTAAACGTTGTCTACACAGCCACTTCCATATAGGCAATCGGGCTATTCACAGGTTATTATAGTATGACGACCCCTCACGAGGAACAAAGGGTCACTGTACAATGTTCAAATTATATACAGCAACACTTCAACGTGATATTTACATAATTGAATTAAATCCCAACGCATGTGTCTCGACCTTTTATGCCCAAGTAACATGATATAACTCGCAATGTCATGCGTTTATTTTAGGATGTGACAAGTTCAAATAGGCATTATATTGCTTTTTTCATGCAAACAAATATATATATTGCTCGAAAAACAAGTATTAAAGTGTATATCCATCATTCAGACTACTGGAGTGGAAGAAAATTAAAAAAGATTGAGTTATCACGCACAATTAAATTCAGTGTGTTTCAGACAATCTTGGACAAAACCCTTGAGACCATTCCAGCTAATACTACAAAGTCATTGAACATTGACAAAACAAGTTTTGTCTCCCCCTCCCCCCCAGTCCAATGTTGTGAACAACACCGAAACAACTTTTTGTAATATACCATGATACAAGCTCAACATTGAGTTGGGGGAGCGGGGGTTTAAGAATGGCAACATGATTCAACATGGAGTTTATCATTAAAATGCGCAAATTTTCTACAGGGGGAAATAGTCTCAACCGGTTATGTCCAAGATTGTAGAGCACTTTTTGTAGCTCTATTTTGTATTTCGCCATATTAACTTCTATAAAATGTCCTCTGGTTTGTCCAACCGGGTTTAAAACACAGGTTGCAGGTCACAGACCTGTGTTTTAGACCCGCTGGTCAGCTGACATTCTGGCACACTTTTTACCCACAAGTGAAGCTTCTGCCCTATTTCTCTTCTGTGGCCTGATCGTGATCGCAGCATCACCCCTGGCGGCCATATTGGATATTCCCAGGAGCAAGGAAATTTGTATGTTTTATTATGGCGAAATTACAACTTCTGCAAGTATATTCATATTTGGAATGACAAGTTTGATGTTTTGAGCAGGGAAATTTGTTGTGGAGTATCGCAAATTGTAAGGGAACATAAAATATAAAGGGTAAGCAGGGGCGGATCCAGCGTTTTGGATGACAGGTTTACTAGGTCCACACAACCACTAAGGGGTCCGGGGAATGCACTCCCGGGAAATTTTTAAAATTCGGGCCTCTTAAACAGCATTTCCTGCATTCTGGCGTCACCTTTTAAATTAATTTAATGGTTAGAAAATACATGTTTTTAAGAGAATTTTGGACTAATATACGCAGCTCAAACAATGAATTGAACCTATTCGGAAACTTATTAGCTGGTGATAAAAATATAGGATTGGCAAATTGCTGAAGCATCGATATTTATTATAAATACAACAAGTAGAGACGCTTTTAATATAAACGTAGTTGTAATTTTAGATCTATACGCTTTCAAACCAACCGCTTTAACAATGAAATAGAAACCAAACTGCAAGATCTAGAGTGTGAAAGCTTTACAATTATTTCCTGATTCTCTATCGCAAACGCAATGATTCGGTCACACAGTATTATAAGAATTTATATTCACATATTTTGCGCTATCATGAGTGTAGACTGTAGAAGTTACATGTAGAAAAACATCGATACGCTTGTTGACGGATCGATATTTATTATACAGTAAGTAGAAATAGCTTACAGTTATAACTTTAGGCTATATACTTTTATTAAATAAACCTTCAAAATGAACAAGAAATCCATGTAAATGCTTCTATCGCCAACGCAATTTTCATGCACGGAAAATTAAACACATTTCGTGCGTCCTCGAGTTCTGTTCTCTTTCATTCCCAGTTTTCTCTAAATACTGCTCGACTCACAGGTTTATGACCGGTTTACATCCGTCGGAGCGCAGCCGTTTAGCCAATCAAATGGCGTATGAACCGGTTTACTCTCATTGAGAAAACTCTGACCACCGGTTTACTCATAATTGCGGGCGGTTATGTGTGATTCATGCGATGTTTCTGTCCACGTCCCACGACGATACATTAGCAGATTATTTGTCTAGTATTACAACATTTCATAAGAGGAAAACAACGCGATAAGTCCTTAATTAATTAAATGCTTATTATGTAAGTGGGTCTAAATACGGTCGGTAATCCAGAATCAAATTTCGATAAGAGTATTTAAATGGCATATTAGATTAGACAACATCAAGTTTATGAAACAGAATATTCTTTAAATTAGTTATATATGTACATGGAGGGTTATAGATTTTCTTTCTTTGGAAAATCTGACAGGTTTATATAAACCTGTCAAACCTGTCTGAATCCACCCCTGGTAAGTACAAACAATATATATTTCCCGAAAATAATACTTTTGTTACATATCCAGGAGTGGCCAGATAGCAATATTTTTAAACTAAAAGTTTCTCATATGCATTTTCGATAAGATTTGCCCCCATTAGCAGTACATTAGAAATTACCCTTAGAAATTATAAACTGTCGTGTTTTTAATGATTTTAAACAAACTACTAAAACACACTATTTTGAAGTGGCAAACGAAAGATTAAATAGGGAATAATTTAATAATTAAGAATTATTTGAATTTGAATTTTAGCATGTTAATAACTTATAGAACCTTTCTATTTTATAACAATTGTAATATAATATATAGTTTTTTTTACAGATGAAGAGCCACTCATATGGAAATACTGTAATAAAATCATTATTACTATTATTATTATTCATATAGCTTTTTATACGTATTAGTATTACACAAAACAAAATCTGTTGTAATCAGTATAATTCATAGATATCTCAGTGGTATGATTAGGGATGAAAACTCGTATCTCAATTGACACAATAGCTGCATTGTTTTCAAGGACAAACATGCTAGTTTCGATGATAGATATAATAGTTTTGACGATAGATATAATAGTTTTGACATGTCCATGCATGATTTCGATTTTTTTGCACATTTTCTATACATGTTTGTATTGGGCTGGAAATATATTTTGTGTTATTTTACTGGAATTATATTTTATTGACAGTACTTACATTGTCTTCTATAATGTCTTGGTGGGCAAGCCAGTATTATTAACATTTAGTTGATAGTGGTGGGCGATACTAGGAATTTTAATTCGATACCGATACCGATACTTTGAAGATCGGTATCGGTCGATACCGATACCTATTTCGATACCAAAATAAACACAAAATTTCTATTTTCGATACCGGAAATGATTACTCATATTGCCGGTATCGGTCACTTTCGATACCTTGCACTATTTTTTTCTCACTTATCTTTTATTCCAAAACATTAACGTTATTACACAAAAACGGTAAGGAATTTCAACAAATAAACTTTTTTTCTTACTACAGTCGTGCTGTTCACATATTATTGTTCAGAAATAGAAGCATGTGAATGTTTGAGGGCTTTAGGTTTGACCTTTTCTTTGAAACCAATTCACCAGCTTTTGAAAACGCTCTTTCGGATGGAACAGATGTTGCCGGGATGCATAGATACTTCTTGAATAGCTCAGTTAAGTGCGGATAAGTTGATGCGTGCTTCTTCCACCATGCTAGCGGATCTTCTTGACGAGGAATATTCTTCTCTTGTACATACCGCCTTATTTCTACAGTAGATTCTACTGAACTGGAACGGTGTGTAGATGCCTCGGCAACCTTCTTATCGAAGCTCCCCCACAAATCACTTTCATAGGCAGATTGTTCTGTATTGTTCTGTGTTGTGGTACTCGCTGACATCGATGTGCCGCTTTCATTAGTATCATTCGTGATTATGTTACAAGCTTCCGCTGAAATTCTATCAATAGTTCGTTCAGCATTATCAGCACTGCAAAAAGCAATTTTCTTGAATCGCGGATCTAAAATAGTTGATGCCGAAAGAGTATGGTTAGACTCTAGTTGGGAAAATCTTCTTTTCAATTGACGCTTCAGTTCTGCTTTGAGCTTAGATTCAAGCGATTGGGACTCATTAACAACTGGAGTTGAACTGCCACCAAGAGCACCTTGCAGCAAGTGAACCAGAGGAATTATTTTTGACACTGAGATGAATGACTCACTTGACATTTCTCGTGTTGCCTTCTCAAATCCCCCTAGCACAGAGACAATTTGCTGCATTGAATCAAATTCAGAGTTAGTAAGACATAGATCGTTCCTTCCACTTAAGCACAAGGCAGTTGTCACGGCTTCCCGAAGCTTAAGCAAACGTTCCATCATGTAAAAAGTTGAGTTCCATCGCGTCTCAACATCCTGCTTAAGTTTCATTGGCTTTGTGGTTGTGTTTGCCTGAGACTGCATAGATAACAGCTTTTCTGTTGCTTTTGTACTGCGATGAAAGTAAGTTACAATGTCTTTGCACTTCTTCTGAAGACGTGGTAGTCCAGTGACAGCATTCAGAGAATCCTGAACAATTAGGTTAAGAGTGTGCGCAAAGCAAGGCAGATGACGCCATCCAAGCAAGTTTACAGCGGCTACAATGTTAGCAGCATTATCTGTGATAATGCAACAGATCTTCTGAGTTATCTCCCACTCTTTTGCAATATTTTTCAATTCTTCTGCAAGGTTTGGTGCAGTGTGGTCCTTCTGTACGTACAATGTTTCAAGGACCTTTGAACACAATTGCATTTCGTGGTTAATGAAGTGGCAGGTAAGAGTGAGATAACTTAAAGTTTGATTAGAAGTCCACAGATCTGTTGTCAGAGCAACATGTTTTACTTGCGTCAGTTCACGTTTTACGGCATCCTTTAGTTTTTCATACTTTTTTGGAAGTAGTGACCTTGTGATAGTAGAACGACTAGGTAGCTGATACCGCAGATCCAACTCCTTAACAAATTTAATGAATCCTTCATTCTCAACAACAGAAAGAGGCTGCATGTCCTATTAAAATAATCAGCAAAACAATATCATTGCCTTATTGGTCATAATATAGTAACAATAGACGAACATAATATTATACTACAATGCTAAGATAATATTAAATAATACAGCATAAAGTAATATATTAATAATGAATATAACTACCATTTATTACAGAAAGTATTACAAAAAATATTGTTTAAAAATTACGATACACTTACCTTGGCGATCATTCCTACCAATGATTCTGTTATGTCTCCCCACCGTTTCGAAGAGATAGGGTAAGTTGTTCCTCTTCCGAGTGCCGATTGCATGGTCATTTGCTTTGGAGTAGCCTTTCTTTTGTTTGCCTGTGATTTTTCCTGTTCTTTCTTCTCTGCATCCACGGTTTTGTACTCCGAGTTGTGATTATATTTCAAATGCTTGAACAAGTTTGACGTGTTGTTTGCACGGCTTAAAACTTCCCCGCAAATGGTGCAAGATACTTTACTTATGTCAGATTCGTCGTCTTGATCAAAATATCGCCAGGCAGCGCTCCTTTTCATCGCAAATAATATTAATATGATATACAATTACAATAACAAACAATAACGCGCCTTATGGCGCCAATAATCAAATAATGGCGGGAATTTACTGTTGGTCAGTACTGTTGGTCAGTGGAAAAAATGTTTTACTTTATGTAATCCAAATAAAGCTGTAAGTGTTAAGTAAAGTCAAAATTTTGTATACCTGACTTGGCTCACTATTTTGATGTAGTTAATTTAACGGTTTTTTAGTCTTTTATTTGACAAAAAAATTTTAAGAAAAATTAAAATCGCGCTGAAAAAGGGGTGCAAGTATCGAACGATACCAGGTCAGTAATCGATACCGATACCGCTGGACTTGGTATCGATTACCAAGTACTCGGTATCGCCCATCACTATTAGTTGAAGCAAGAATGGAATCAAGATAAAAGCCTTTAAAGTATTATTATACATAATTATAGTATAACTGTGTTTATTGTTGGCAATCTGCAATTTAGTGTAAAAATCTCATCTTTTTGAAATTAGATGTATGAAATTTTATTAAAATGTGAGAAACCATTGTGTTAAAAAATTGTTGTTATTTTACTTGTTTGCATTTCAATCTTGTCTGCTTCCAATCATAGCAAAAAAAATATTTAATACAGGCTAGCTGGTGTTTTTAAATAAATATAACTTAACAATTTTACCAATGCACAAAAGCTTTTGCCCTTGTTTTACAGCATGTTTGCCTATATATTGCAAATATATGTTTGCTATTTGATAGGATCATTGGATCCCTGTGATATAAAATTTTGAAATTTTGGCACCCTTAAAACTTATTAGTAATGGGGAAAGTTAATAGAGGTCCACAATGCTGTGCTTTTGGCTGTTGTAAAAGGTTAAACATAGGGTGCTGTTAAAACCCAGTTAAGGAGTTACAGTAAGGGGATCATTTCACAGGTATTAAAGATTTTTTAAAAACCAATTTACAGTACAGTAAATTAAATGTAAATATGGCATACATAAAATCGATCATTTATTAATAATTTTTGACAGAACATTTGGTTCTTATTGTTTAAATATTATACTTAGTCTTTAAAGATAAATTCCAGTCGAATTCGCGCATGCGCGTATTATTGTTTACATTTTATGTTTTTATCCATTACATGCAAGTTACATGAAGTATGACTGTCCTCTCATAAAAACAATGGCGGAAACGATTGGCGATCAGTGATGAACACTTAATTCGGATCATATTACGTTATACCATTGTCATTGAGATATAAATACTTTGAATTGTTGCGTTGGCATTATAATTTATTCAAACTTTCGCATTTATGGATATCTCTGTTACGTCAGAAAATTTGGATCAACAGGAACTTATTCAAGCGTCTGAAAACCCTTTTGGTGCTGACAACATAACTGTATGCACTTGTAGGGGTATGTGTTTAAGAGAAAGTGGTCGTAATGCGTGTCCCTGTAAAAATGTTGGACATTTTTGTTCATCAGCTTGCCATAGGCAAATGGCTTCGACTACTTGTCTAAATAAAAGAAACGTTGTACACGGGAACTTATCTTCAGATTCTGATGATACACAAGTGAGTATTGGGCAATGGTTGCTTTTTTGTCATATTGTTTTAGTTTTATTTGTCATATTGACTGAACGGGTGCCTTGCATTTTGATTCATTATAAATAAAATAATATCTGACAGGACTTTTGTACATTTTATACAGTACATTATTTTCCAGGTTTAATACATTACCAAATTATTTATATATTTGCAAATCATGTTGCACATGAAAGAGTAGGGCATGTGCAACCATTATATATAGCCTGAACTGCATTCTAAACAATTTACAATACTTGTAGTTATGGAAGTAAGTTAATTAGCCTTTTCTATTCATACAAAAGGCAGTCAACATACATGTCATTGATATCATGTTTACAAATATTACAATTATTCTCATTGTCATTTCCTTGGTCATTTCCCACTTGACGTTGAAAAGTAAGCGTTTAGCATCATATTTAAGTAAAATCATATCCCACCCCTTCTTGTCATGAATTTTTTGCCAGCCCACCCTTTGTAGCCCAGAATGTTTTCATTGCCTCTCCAAACATCTTCTACCCACCCCATAAGTAATTTAGGCTGTGGGCTGTTGTGCGAAAAAGTGCCTAGAAAAGCAATTTCGTGGCACCCTCCGGGGAAATAGATTTTCTGTGGTTCAATTCATAGAACCATAGATGCTTAATTACCGCAAAAAGTTCCCAAGCAGAAAACTTGCCCAACACCGCGAAAATGGGTGATCAGTGATTATCCTCTATTAAATTGTATTACAATGTAAAATTTTGTATTTGTATGTAAATTTTGTATGTAAAATTTTGCGTACAAAAAGCTACATATAAGACATTTAAACAGTTTTTTCATATCTAAAATTGTTTACAAGTTATATGCTGTCAAAAACGTGTTTTGACCTAGTACCCAGTCCTTATTGCAACATTTTGGTCCAATTTTCACATTTAAAACAGCAATAACTCAAAGACTATTTGAAAAATAAAAAAAACTGTTTAAAAGTGTTATATGCGTTTTTTTGTACGTTTTCCAAGGATGCAAGTCATTTTTATTGAATTATCGTAATTGAATACAGAATTTCCCATTTTTTTGCTGTAATACAATTTAATAGAGGATAATCATTGATCACCCATTTTCTCGGGATTGGGCAACTGTTTTGCTTGGGAACTTTTTTTGGTAGTGATGTACCTATATGCCTTTCAAATAAACCCCAAACCAAATATTTCCCACATGGGTGCCACAAAGCGAAATAATTTTGGCCAACAGCCCACAGCCTAATTAAAGTTTTAAAAATTTCAGGAATCCTCAGATACAAGCTTTAACATTAGCCAACAATCATATGGTAGTAGTACAGTCAGTAGACGTGGACGATCTGGCGTGACTATACATGGGTTTGGTGCAAGGTCAAACAGAGGGCGTGCCAGAAGAGGTGGTACGTCGAGAGGCAGAGTGAGACAGACCAATAGAGGTCAAGGAAACAGAGGTCAACGGAACAGAGGTCAACAGAACAGAGGAATAGAGGTCAAAGAAATAGAGGACAACAAAGAGGAAGAGGGCATGGCAGATTAGTAGCTGAGGAGAATTCGGAAGAGAGAAGGGCTCAGCATGAAGAACAACTGCAGGTGATAATAAACTCAATTTGAATTCAAAATAGGTTAATTGTTTCATTTTATTAATTACAAGTATGCGTGGTACACATAATATCCAAACAATGCTGTAAAAATCATTGTATTTCTAGTATACCAAGTAATATGAATTTGTATGCATTGGTTTATTCTTGAAATGTCTTGACTGTGACCATGGAACATCATTTTGGTTTGTAAACATGAGATAAGAGGAAACATGGCAATACAGTAGAGGGTCCACAAAATATACTGTTTCCTTATAGTTTGAGTCAGTATTCTATTATATATACAGAATATCAAGTGTCAAGGAAATTGTGTTAAATTATTGCATGACGTGAACTTATATTGCCCACATAAAAATAACAGTACCAAACTATTTTATTCTTATTTAACATATACTGTAGTAACAGCATACAATGAACCACATCAGAGCTAATCTTTAGTAGTAAAAAGACAAATTTAATGAATTTCACATGTTACTATATTGTCTAATCAGATGGAAAAACATTAATTTTGACACTTGGTATATACTGTAATATGCTTTAACCTATTAATAATTAAATAATACTCTTTAACAAGCGATTATGTGGTGAAATCCAACCTCAGAGTCGTTATAATACAGGGCTTTAAATTTTTCAGCAGTATCCAACGGGATACTACCAACTTGAAATGGTATCCACCAAGAAAATCTAGTAATTCCAGTATCCCAATTTAAAATGTTGTATCCTGTTAGATAATTGTATGTGTAAAATAAAGTACACTGTAGGGTTAGTTACAGTATATCATCACTTATGTTAACACATCATTAATTAACATCAAGCCAAATGCACCGTATTGAACTTACACTTCAGTTAATTGATTTGCTACTTCAGGATTTTTTCTACTACAGTATTTGCTTATTTAAAACACGTAATTGAAACTGAGATTCTTTAATTACAGGATACTGTATTTGTTCAACTGACAAATATAATTCTATGTATCATTAGGAACTGGTAAATAACTTAGATGATGCAACTCTTCGAGTACTAACTGCAGAATTGCTCAGACGGCAACCAGCCATGTTTGCAGATTTGGTGAATGGAGAGCTACCTGTGTTTCAACAGGGTAATATAAACGAATTGCCTGAGCAACCAGAATACAACAATCAACCTGAGTGGTGCAAGTGCGGTGTATGTATTGTGATGCCAACTCAAGCTGAAAACAAGTGTTGCACACAAACAGTTCAACCATGCATTACAACACACCCTTTGTTTTATCAAATCGTTTTGGATCCTAACATACTTGATATTGCAATGAGATACAAGGAAGATGTGTTGGCTATGGAGCATCCACGGAACAATGAAAATTTTCGCCACACTGCGTACAGACAGTTTGTGCTATGGCAGCATGGCCGGTTAGGTCAAGGTGACAGACGTGTTGTCCCAAGTTGCTGTGTTCAGACAATCAGGAAAAGATACCCATCACCTAATGGTATTTACGTTGGTTTTCGACCAGCACGGTTGTAAGATTATCGTTTACTGTTCAACTGTAATATAAAGTACATGCAAGATACAATTGGCACAGCCACAAAGTACATTTGAATATTATGAATGTCATACTTGTATACTTAAATTTAGTTATGTGAATCTTGACTTGTTCTTCAACAGCAGATTTTCCACACTTGGTCTTGGAACAATAGCAATGTTAGGAGATATGTTACGTGGGTCTTCTGTACTTCGTTTTATTTTTTTATTCACATTTCCCACTTTAACTTGCATTTCAAATATTTTGGCAATAAGATCTGGAATGTACTTGTATTCTTTTGCCTTGAGAATGGTAACTGGACACCATTGCTTGGTTCGTTTACTGTATTGTGCACGGTAACTGCAAAATAATATATTAATATAATGGTCAAAAGTTTTCCATTAACTTAATAGACCTTAGAAGCACTTACCTCACACGGTTTTCAATGCATATAAATACTGAAGTGGAACCGTCAGATCCAGTGATTGCGAGTACAGGTTCACTGCCAGGTTTTTTAGTCAAATATCAGAACATTATCAACACCATTAACAAACAACTCTACAGTAAATACACATCACCACTGGATACTTTCTTATCTTAATCACCTAGTTAAATAATTCTGAAAGCCCTGTAATTTCAATATATGGTTAGCAGTCATTACTCTCTATATATATATATACCGTATACAGGTATATATACTGTGCATATATCATAGTCATTATCTTACCGAACTCTTCCATCGGCAGTTGTAGCTGGTTCTCTGTTTTGATGACTATTAAAATCGATGGTAGCCAGTTGATTTCGTAATTTGTATCCAACGAACCTGTTCAGGAATATAGAGAATACAAAAAATAATACTCCAATGATTATTGTCGCGTACTTGCATGAGCTGGTACAAACCTCAAGGTGTACCTAACTTTATAATGAATTACATCAAGTACAGGTTTCTGAAAGGGATTCCTTCAGTAACACGAAACTAGTATTAGTGTTATATATCAAGGAACACAATTCGAGACACAGGCTACGATCGACTCTAACAACATTTCTTATTTCTATCTGATCAGTGATCATATCAGTCCAATCATGCCCAGTCGTGCTAGACTTGCACATATTCTAACTAAATTACGGTTTTGAATAACTTGGGCTTGGACAGATAAAATGGTATAATGCCGGTTTTCCACTAGGCGGAATTTTGCGCGCGGAGCGGAAATTTTCTTTGATTTTTTATTTCTCAGGTGGAACTAATTAGAAAAGATAAAGAAAAATTCCATTCCGCACTGAAAATTCCGCCTAATGAAAACCGGCTTAAAGTGCCTATGACATGAAATTTATTATTTTCTTAAATGAAAGAACTCTTTAAGCTGTAGTGTAACTTATATTTCAGTTTCTTGTTTTTTTGGTTTGTTCCCGAGATATTTCAATTTGTTTGATATGTAAATGAGTGTGAATATGTCCGCTAATTTATGACGTCACGTTGGTTGCAAGCTCAACTTACACTGGCTATAAATCTATTAACTCTATTTTCAGTTCACGTTTTTATCCAGTGTTTCATCACATTTACCAGTGAGGGAAGTTTGAAGTTATCATCTTGGATGATAGCAGTGATATTCAACCATTTTGAGGAGCTTGCAACCAACGTGACGTCATAAATTAGCGGACATATTCACACTCATTTACATGTCAAACAAATTGAAATATCTCCGGAACAAACCATAAAAACAAGAAACTGAAATATAAGTTACACTACAGCTTAAAGAGTTCTTTCATTTAAGAAAATAATAAATTTCATGTCATAGGCACTTTAAGCAAAAAATTAAGTACGCAGATGATAAGAGTATTGCGTTAACTATATAGCTGCTTAAAATGTACTTACGAATAGGACTGACGTTTTGGGCAATACATCAGTAAATGATTGTGATAGGATTCACGGAAGCCTGTGTGCCTGAAATAGAAAAAAATAATTATTTACATTGTAAAGAGATTTGCTTTTATTACAATTTAAATAAAACCTATTAAAACACTTTTTTCTTACCGAAACCTTGTATAATATCGAAATGTATTTAGAAATCTCTTGCTGAGGACAATTTTCTGCAACGCCTTGTGTGCCTTGCTATTTTTTAATAACCAAGGCTTTTGCCTATCATCTGTGAGAGGACCATGGCCACATTTCCCAGAAGACTTCCCATCATTTAAGACCCAACTGTGTTCATCTACCACATGATGTAATAATGCTAACCACAAATCCTAAAAGAACACTTGATTTGCAATAATACATGTAGATTATCTAAAAGTAATAAAAACAAAATGCTGTACTGGCATGTACAGTACCTTGAAGTCATCAACATTTCCATCACAGTTTCTACTACAAAACCAAAAGTGGTTTCTTATAGCAGTCACCCATGGCAAAATGTCCTCATTCCCCTTTTCACATGCTGCCTACAAAAAATATAGAGATAACTTAATTAGACTAATGACCGTACTGTACCTCGTGTTTGTACTATAAGTGCAGGAACAGGAGCCGACTTTGTTGTACTGTTTCTACCTGATATAATTAAACCATTATGTCTGTTTAAAAAACGTTTACCGATTATTAACAAACAAAACCTTTTCGTTGACAAGTAAAATGTATGACAGAATAAAATGCTAAAGCATGGCAAAGAAAAGCATTTTACTTTATCTAACACCATACAAGTTTAGGAAGGCCTTGTGTGTTAATGAGTTACCAAACAAACAAACAGTCTGCCAAATGTTTCCTGATATATCCCTTTAACACATATGACACCCACTGTGCAATACATGTCATACATGTCA